TGAGCACTCTGCTTTCTGGAACCCACTCATCCCAATTTTTATTCCAACCACTGTAGTGTATAAAGTATTTTACTTGTTTGTCCTTTATGGCAACCTTTACACACTTTGCTTCATAAAGAAGAGGGCCACGAAAGCACAGCACTCGTTCGCCCTCCTGGAACTTGGGCTTCGGGTCCTGCTTGGGCGCCCTGTATAAATGATTCACTGCCTCCTTCTCCCACCACCCCCGACTACCGCCCCCTACTCTCTACCCCACCTGAGCTCGCGTCAGACGCCGCGCCTTCAGGCACAGCCGCTCTACATCCTTTTTTTTTTTCTTTTTAACAAATGCCCCAGGGGATTCTGGTAAAGTAGTTTAAGACCCACAATTTATAAAGCTGCTATGAAATTTTTAAAAGAAACAAAAGGTTCACTAAAATTCAGCTCCTCATATTGGGTCTGGCTTATCATTCTTTAATGTATTATGTCAAGTTGGGAATGGTTGTTAACCCCACTTTCTTTTTATTTATTCATCAACTTTGGGGGCTACAGGAACCAAACTCAGGATCTTGCCCTTGCCAGGCAGGCGCTGTGCTGCTGAGCTGTCCCAAACCTGTTTGCTTAATTGACAAGATAATGACTGAAAAAATAATGAACTCTATTTTTTAAAACAGAAAACTGAGGGGAACATATGGGGTGCGTGCATGCCACCTTCTGACCCATCTCCCGTCCAATATTATCAACATGATAAATTAAACTAGTGCAGTCGATAGCCCTATGCAGCCACTCCTCTTTTAAAGACCAAGTTCTGTTCATGTGACTAGGTTAACTGAATTAGTCAGCAAATGAGGAATCATACTGTAGTGTGTACACTACAATATCCAGAACAAAGAAACAGTCAAAGGAGACTCCAACTTGATGAATTTGTTTTTATTTATATAACTCTGGCAAGCAGCACCATAATGTATAACAGCATAAAAACCACAGTCCTGTACTGTATGGTTCAAGCAGCAGAAATTGCAGTACCGTATAAACAAAGTACATTGTTCAAAAAAAGAAATCAAGGCTCTTTAAACAAGATGCATAGAATCAACAACAAAGGTCCAAGAGGCAAGTGGTAAGTCTGGATACTTGTTAAAGAGGCAGGTCATTAAACAAGGAATATCTGTGTTAGATGTCATCAAAATATTCAATGAAAAATTACTTGCTTTTTCTTATTATGTACTCTCTGATAACTTTAAAATAAAATACAGCAGCTGCCAACAAATCATCACATCAGCCGGATGCAGGCAATACTGACCCCCATATGTCAGAAAAGTCAGGAATGAAAACTCCTCAGGGAGTTCAAGATCCATGACTAGGTAGCAGTGAATCCGAATGTTCATCAGCAATCAAGTCTGCAGGACAGGCACAGTCCCGAGGTGAGCTTCAGCAAGTCGGTGGAGTGCCTGTTCCCATGTCCCCTCACTTGCCGTCCCTGGCATCTTAGCAGCCCATGAATTCTTCAAGGTTACATCGATCTGAATGCTGGTATTCCTGGAAGCTGTTTTGAATGTGCAATGTTGGCTCATTAATGAAGGAGCATCTGCAATGTAAGGGACCAAGGAGGCTAAAATACTAGAAATAAGGTGTCACAAAACCACAAACCCGCTTGACTCTGTAAAAATCATTGGAAATGCCAAGTATCCTTGACAGTGAGACTGACGTTGAGGGAGTCACTGCTCTGTCTGCCTCTGCAGCAAAGAACCTAGGATGACAGAAGGCCATAAAGCATGGGGTGAAGGAGCTCACAAGTATGTGACAAAAGGCAAACACAGAAAACAATCACAGAGCCAAGAATAATGGCCATGATCAATTGTTCACTTGTTTCCTGTGATTCAAAGTGCACATACAGCCCTTGAGAAAATGTCATGAGACACTTCTACACATCAAAAAGTTTCAAAGGCAATGTCATTTCTAAAGAGTTTGTTTATATCTGAGAATGTATCTACCTCCACATGAACTGATTTCTGTATCACCTGAGGAAGTACTGGAAGCACCTCGTCCCTGGAAGTGGGCTCAATACAGAGTGCCCTGATACACTTATCTGGCACTGTGGCGCTGCTGTCCTGCCGATATCATACATGACAGATGGTCTTGTAAGGCTGTGCTCCAAACCGCCCCCTTCTGCCGTGAAACAGGCAAACCATATATATTTGGTATTAAGGTATGAGCTTGTTTGCAATAGCCAAAAAACGTCAACTAGCTCATTTTCCCCCCAGCATAAGACTTTATACATATAATACATGTTTTTAAGACATTAGTCGTTTTAGGGATGTTGGGTTTATTTTCACAACAGGCTTAGAGAATGTTTCCAAAATGCAGTAGGCTACAGAATTCCTTGTTTACATTACAATACACAGAACAAAGAAATGGTCAGTGCAAACTGCACCTTGAGGACTTTGCTTTTATTTGCAGAACTGTTACATGTAGTACTGTAACATAACAAAACATAAAACTACAGTTCTGCACCGTGCAGTACAACCAGGCAAAATTACAGTATTCTATAAACGTGTACTGTGAAAACAACTGAGGTTCTACAAATAAGATTCATCTTACTGGAAGCCTCAGTGGCAAGTCCTGAATCCGGTCAGACGCCTCAGTCCAGAGAGTTGTTAAACGCATAGGTCATTAAAGGAGGAATACCTGTAGCGCATTGGAGGGACTTCTAGAAGGGCAAGGCCGCGTCTGCGCAGTGCACTCAGCGGCTGCACGGTGTCTGAGAACCGAGTCACACCCACACCCTGGAACAAGGTCTTGAGCAATTTCTCAGAGATGTTTGCGCAGATTAACACCATAATGACTGTAATTGTTCTGTTTCAGTTTTGCACACAATTGGCTGCAGGACAGTTTGGCTGAGCACTCTGGTCGGTGCTTGGCACTGTTGGTGCGTCCACCTCAACTTCCCTTCAACCTTGGACACCACCTTTAATGGCACCAAGTCCTAAGTGAGGAAACCCAGTGAAACAGAACACCGCTAATTAGCTTACACTCGACTCCTTCAAAGGGTGTCGGGTGGGGCTAACAACGTTAATGCTGCTAAAGAACTGCTCTAAATCACACAGATGCTGGAATCTCCAAGCCAAGCATACGAAAGGAATGTTCATTCACTCTCTGAGACATCCTAGGCAGAGAATTTGGGGTGGGGTGGGCTTAACTTTCCTGAAGTTTGGGCAGCAGCGGGCAAAAACCCCTGGGGAGAGCCTCTTAACGCGCTTATAGGGAAGAACCAGTCGTTTTGTGGCCACTCGCACCCGCCAACTCGGTGCCAGGTATCCAGTGATCCTGACAGCAACCCAAACTGGTCGCTTCAAGGAGTCCACGGGTCGCGCGGCACCGGAAAGTCACTGCTTCGTCTGCGTGTTAAGGAGACCAGCGCCGCCTCGGCAGGGAACTAGGCGGCGGGTTACGGAGCAGTCACCCCGGGAAGCACCGCGGGGGGCTCCGGGGCGCACGGTTGAGGAGCCGCCCAGGAGGACCGGACCCGCTTCCACCTCCATTTTCAGACGCTCCAGGCACGGTTCCTCCCACTTTTCAAAACCACTCTTCCGCACAGCTACGGAAACGTCTTTTAACCTGACTTTGCAGGAGAGAAGCTCAACGCGGGAAAACTACTTCCAGGAGCCGAGGAGCCCTGGCTTCCGGCTTTGACCCGGCCGGCTCAGCCGACCGCGCTTCCTCTCCCGGGGAAGCGCGCAGCAGCACGGAGGAGGTCGGTGCCCGGGCTGCCCGGAGCCCGCGAAGATCAAAGGCGCTGGGGACCCGCCTCCTCCCGGGACGCTCGGCAGGGCTCGGCCTGGGCGAGCCCAGCGGCCCGCGGGCTGGGGAGGAACCTGGGGCCGCGCTCCGCCCACCTCACCTCCCGGCCACCTGGGGCGCGGAGTGGGCGGGACCTGAGGGTGGGCGGGGCTCGGGGCAGTGGTGGGCGTGGCCGGGACCCCGGAGGGCGGGGGCGTGGCGGGGCGGGGCCGCCCGGGGTCTGGGAGTCCAGAGCCGGCGAGAGCCAGCGGAGTCGGCTCCCCCGACTGTTCCACGCGGCCGCGCTGCTCCGGACCCCCACGCGCGCGCTGTGTCCCGGTGTCCCCGTTTGAGCGAGCGCCCGGGCGAGACGCACAGGGAGGGACGCGCCGGCCCGGCTTCCCAGCCCGGGTAGAATGTGCCACCAGCTGTTCCCGGATCGCGGACGCTTGGCCCCGAAGTGAGAAACTTGGAGGAAGAAGAGACAAAGGCTGGCTTTGGGACGAATGAGTTAGAGACTTGGGTTGGGGCAAACAAAAGGTGAGGAAGAGGACGAGGACGCGGCCCATGGCGGCGGGGCGGCCCCGCGGGCTCGGGTGCCCGGGACTCGCGCCGTGACGCGCGGGGCTGCCCGGGGCCGCGCGGTGGTCGGCTCCGCGGGCCTGGCGAGGCCGGAACAATGGACAGCTTCTTCCCCGAGGTGAGTCCGCGGCCCGGGACACAAGTCTACCCGGTCCCGCGCCTGCCGCCAGGGAGGGCGGCGGCGGAGGTGCGTGGCCTGCGCCTGGGTGGCGGCCCCGGGTCCGCGCCAGGTGCGTCCGCGGGCGCAGGGCGCAGGGTGCGGAGGGAGGGCCGACGGTCTGGTGCCTGGGTGCAGGAAGCGCAGAAAGCAAGCTCGGCCGAGTTGTGCTTTCTCCGAGAGCGGAGTGTGCTCTGGCATTTCCTCTGCAAAATGTGCGGGCTTCCTGTGCTGGGGCGCGGAGACTTGGAGAGGGGACGCTTCCACGAAGTGCGAGAGGGCAGCGCGGCTCCCTCGGCCGCGGTTCTCTGCCTGTTGGAGCCGGGAGTGTGGGATCCGAGCTCCCAAAGAAGTGCCTTTTGGGGGTTGGGGTGTCCCCGGAGCACGGGCTCAAAAGACCCTGCTTGTGCTGACTGCCCATACTTGGCAAAGTTTCCGTTTGAAATCTAAAGAAAATTATTTTAAAGCAAACAAAGAAAGAACAGAAAGAAATGGATGTCCTGCGTGGTCGGCAAGGGCCGAACACCCATGGTTTGGAACTTGAATTGAGAACCTTACCCTCCCTCCTTGGGATTAAGAGTTGGTGTGGTTTCTTGGCTCCGTTTTCCTTCTTGGTTGTGTTTATTGAACAAATTCTGTTTAAGTTTGAGGTTTGAAGTGGTTTCAGCGTAAACCGAGTTGCTTGGGGAGACCGATGTGAGGTTCTGTGCGAACTGGGGTCTGCTCTGTGCGTCCAGAACAGCCCTGGAACTTTCCAGCAAATCAGAGTGTTGAGGGCTCACCTGCACCTTAGCCAGCTCGCTCTTCTGGCTGAATTAGGTATCCTATTTCAAGTCCTTTTGCTTTCTGAACTCCCGGGGATGTTCACTTACAGTTTTCTTACCGTAGCGATAACTATGTTCTTGACTAGTAGTACTCACCTTGTTTTGCAAACGCAGTGCCTGAGATGTGAGACCCCAGTATATTATGAAAGAGGCTGGAAAGAAATTAATCATCTATCCATCTATCTATCTATATTTCCTTTAAAAAATCTTTTATTTATTTATATATTTGGTACAGGGTCACACTACGCAGGTCAGACTCGTACTCATCCTCCTGCCTCAGCCTCCCCAGCGCTGGGATTTACAGGTGTGCACCACCACACCCGGTTTCAGTGGCCGGCTCTTCGCAAGGCCGGCACAGCACGTATACCGACGATCAGAACCTGGGTCCTTGTGCTTGCCTAGGCAGGCGCATAGGCCACAGAACTATCTCCCCAGCCCTCACACTGACCTGTTATGTACCTGTAATTTGAAGGCTCCTGCCTTTTTGCTATTGTATGGTGACCTTTGGGCTCTTAAAATTGCTTTTCCTGTCAGAAAACTGGGGCTCTGCCTGTAGCGCAGTGGTTCCTAGCTTTATTGCTGTTTGTTTTCGTGTTTTGGATCCTTAGGAAAATCTAATGAAAGTATGTTGGGGTCGCAGACCTCCTGAAGGCTGCGGACCCTTAGCGAGAACTCTGCCCCCTAGCGCAGGTGGGAGGAACTTCAGGGTAACGGAAGTGCAGACAGCACTGGGGTGGGAGGCCTGGGTGCTGGATTTTATTTCAGTGGTTAATATACTATTGAAGTTGACCTTTAGCGATCTTCTGCTACATTCTCTTCATTTTCTGCTGACCCCAAGGTAGTAGCTCATCTGCCTAAAGCTGACGAACATGTTACAGAATCCAGAGCCATTGCTTTTTCTTTCTTTTTGTTGTTGTTGTTGGTGGTGACTCGTATTTCTGAGGATCTTTCATGTATTTAAGGTTACACTCAATGTACTGTGTTACAATATTAATTTCTAATCAGCCTCCAAAATTCCATCTTATAAACTGTTAATCTGTCACCTTAAATGAGAAAAGCTCCTGCAGACCTATTGCCTTTACATAGGCCCCTTCTCTCTTTCTAGTAGCTTGGAACGGAAGGTCCTTCTGGGGACTTGTCCAGTGAAAGAAATGTCATGATGTCCCAGAAGTGATACATTTCTTGGGACCACTAACTTGTAGGGCCTCCTTATCTCTCTCTATGGCATCCCATTCCGGTTTCTGACCTTCCGCGCTGTGGTGGAGGGGAATGACTTGCTGCCTGTTAGACATCAGTCTGAAGCCCTGAGGAAGACTGTGAATGAGATGTTACGTGTGAGCTGTATGCACGGTAGGCTGGCCAGCTGTGGGAAACAGGAGCTGTTTGTGAATCACAGCTGCCGCTGCGAGCTAGACCAGACTTTCTCCAGCTGGATGTGCTGACATTTTGAGCCAGAATATTGCTTGTCATGCAGGCTGTCCCTGGCTGGGTAGGATGCTGAAAAGCACCCCCAGCCGAGATGCACTGCACACCAGCAGCCTGCACCCTTTGAAGTACTAACACCCCCAAATGTCTGCAGACGTGGCCAGGTGAGCCCCAGGAGTAAACCCTCCCAGCGGAGCACACAAGCCGGACCTGGGCAGCAGTTGGCTGGCGGTGCGTTTCCTGGGCCAGCTGCCTGCCTTCTTGTCCCAGCTTGCCTGTTTCAAATGGGATCTGGCATCTTGCTGCGGGCGGGCGGCCAGGGGAGGAAGGAGGCTTGTGCCAGTCAGCTGACGCTGCCCACTTCAACCCGCGCCCTGGGACTGGAGCCCAGGAGCCCGGCAACCCGCAGGCTGGTTTCAGTTTCTTCTGGCTCTCGTTAGGTTTTATGCCTTCTCTGGAGCTCACTGTGGGTGCTGGCTTTGGGAAGCAGGTTTTTTCAGTCATTCCAGGTAGGTTGTGGGAAAATGGACTGTGGCCAGAAGCTGGAGTTTAGGAATGTCTGAAATCAGAAGCAATTTAAAAAAATTAGGGCCGGGGAGATATAAGCTGATGAACATAATAATAAGGGCCGGGGAGATATCTCAGTAGAATAAGTGCTTTCCTGGCAAACACAAGAGCCTGAGTTCAATCCCCGGTTCTCCCCCCCAAAAAAAAGTAATAATAGTAATAATAAAGAGGTTTGGCCAGCTGCATGGCCACTGTACCAACTCGTTGATTTTTTTTTTTTTTTGGAACCAGGGATTGAACTCAGGCCCTTATGCTTGCCAGGGAGGCGCTTATTCCACTGAGCCATCTCCTCGGCCCCCAACTCGTTGATGTTTTGAAATGGGCACAGGGTCTGTGTCCCCGGGGCCAGGTACGAAGCCTGAGTTATAGGGGGGGCCAGTGACTTACCAGTGAACTGGGCTTTTCCATTTTCTGTTTTAGGTGTAGGCATGGAATGATGGTTGTTCAAGTGCATGATCTAATTTTTTTTAATTTGTTAGACTATATCTAGAAATGTAAAAAACTTGAATTACTTCCAGAGCAGGAAATTTGGTAATTGATATTCTCTGTATGTTCTTTTTTATTATTATTTTATTTATTTATTTATAATTTTTTTTCTTATGTATTTGGTACAGGGTCTCACTGTGCAGCTCAGACTCATAGTGATCCTCCTGTTTCCAGCCTCCCCAGCTCTGGGATTACAGGCATGTACTACCGCTCGGGTACAGTGGCTGGCTTAGCGCACCCGGGGACAGAGCCAGCAGGGAATGTGGTGCCAAGGATCCAACCCCTTTAATAAAAATGATACAGAATTTCAAAACAAGGTGATAGGAAATCAACCGTGGCTATCATATGGCCTATTGTTATGTTCAGAGCAGTTGCTCAGATTACCAGATTTAGGTATGTAAGATTGATTAAACAGCATAAACACTTCCTTTCAATGAACTAATTGATAAGGCCTCAGTGAACACTTCGATTTTCAGAAAAAATATGTAAAGTGCCCACCAGTAAAACACTCCTGCTTACAGATATGGAAGGCAGGCACTTATACTGTAAGGGATAAGTTGTTAGTAAAACATATTTTCTTTCCAGTCAGTCTGGGCAGCCTGGCTCCATTCAGCAGGGAGCAGACTGCTGTGAAGTGGCCGGCGGCCGCCTCCTTTCCACTTATTGGGCAGGCACGGTGTGAATGTTGCCCGCTGGGGTCCAGATAGCTTCTTAAACTAGTAGTAGAGTCCCCAAGCCTGTCCCTTCCTCCTTTGATAATATAGTTTTTGTTTAAGACCGCCTGACAGTTCTTTTCTTGTCAGAAAAAGCTGAGACATTGTTATTTGGGGGCTTCCCCGTTACCCCCACCCCACCCCTGCCAAATTGTCTCTCCATTTGTAAAGAAGACCTGGGGCCTTTCTTACACTATGGAATTTGTAGACAGTCACTTTGATGACTGTAAAATCGTGCGAGGACGTGGGGTAGGGCCCCTTCCCTGTGTAACAATGGATTTATAGAACCTCGCCTTTTGTGCATAGTCCGGAAGAAGTTCTTTTGTCAAGTACTCATTTTTTCTTCTTTTTTAATCTTGCCCCTGCCATGTCAAGGACAGCAAAGCCACGGCAGCAGCTGCTGGCGGGCCAGTTGTTGCTAACAGGCTGCTCCTGTGTGTCACTTGTCCACTGTCTTAGCTCAGCTCTCCTATGTGCCACTAATGAGGCACCAAGTAGAGTGTTGGAAGCCCACAGGGCTTGCTTTCTCTGCTCTGCTGCCTGTAAGGAGGGGTCGCCTCTGAGGACAACCTTGAGTGTATTCCTCTGCTGTTGTGGTTAGAAGGATTTGGATACCTTACTTTTAGTGGGTTTCAGATTTTTGGATCCAGAGTAAATAATGCGTAACATTTCCATGTCCCTAATTTGCAGGGAACTTTCAGAAAGAGGCCGCCAGTGAAGTCTATATTAAGCTCGGTACAGTTTCCCATGCCTAACTGGCCCTTGGCCGGGCAGAAAGCACCCTCCTCTTAGCAGTGGAAGCTGGGCTCCATCCACGCCTCGTCACCTTTGGGGGCCCAGCCGCGATTAGGCAGGTTCGAGGCGAGGTGTGGGAAGCAGTCGCCGCACATGTGGGGGAGCTGTGGACAGAAGGTTGGTGCTGGTCACCGAGCTCAGGAGGAGGAGA